CACCCTTTAACAGCATACTGTAATTTGACGACCTACTAGAAATGATGTGTATTCCTGTGGAACTTTAGGCTGACATTCTCTACAAGTTCTTTATCATTTAGAGTTACATGACTCTAAATCAGGGATCTGCAAACTGAGCCCTGAGAACCATTCACTTCGTTGTCTGTTTTCTCGCAGCTCATGAGCTAAGAATGATTTTTACATTTTAAACGATTAAAAAAAAATCAAAAGCAGAATAATATTTTGTGTCATAAAAATTACATGAAATTCAAAGTCAGTGTCCGTAAATAAAGTTTTATTGAAATACAGCCTTTTTCTTTTTCTTTTTGGTGAGGAAGACTAGCACTGAGCTAACATCTGTTGCCAATCTTCCTCTTTTTGCTGAGGAAGATTGGCCCTGGGCTAATATCTGTGCCCCCATCTCCCTCTATTTTATATGTGGGACGCTGCCACAGCATGGCTTGATGAGCAGTATGTATATCCGTGTCCGGGATCCAAACCTGTGAACCCCGGGCCACCAAAGCGGAGTGTGCGAACTTAACCACTACGTCACCAGGCTGGCCCCCCTTTTTCTTTTTTACATATTGTATGGTGCTTCCACACTACAATACCAGAGTTGAGCAGTTGCGACAGAGACCACATGGCCCTCAAAGCCTAAAATATTTACTATCTGGCCCTTTATAGGAAAAGTTTGCCAACTCCTGCTCTAAATAATCAGTATCCATTTATCCTTTGCGAATTTACTGAGCAAACATTCCACTGACTATCATGGTGGGCTGTTGGGCAACTTGTCTCCATGGTCGAGTGTGGGGTTAGGGAAGGGGCGAGAGCATCTCTGAGGTGGGGAAAGAAAGCAGGTACACTGAAATTTATTTAATCTAACAGTGAGACATAACTTAAACTTTATTAATAATTAACCTTTTGCTTGACTTTGCACTATATGGCAGGCAGTCATGTGTCAGGATGCTCAACTTCCTTGTCAATACTTGGTATTGTCGGTTTATTTATGGTGAGGGAGAAACTACTTTATAACAAAACTTGTGCTAATGCAAGAGCATTCTGAAAACAAATGTTTGGAAATATTCCAATCGTTACGTCATCTTATTGCAAAAATTGATAT